GTTGGTAACATTCAGTTTCTTGTTGTAGGACTGACAGCTTCTGTGTTCTGTTAACTGTCAGCCAAATGTGCCCTCAGCTCCTTGCAACATGGGCTTCTTCAGCACAGTTGCTTATTTCATCAGTCCTGCAAGGACTGTCTCTAGGGTGAGTCTGCTAGTAAGATGGAGCCTTATATAACGGATCTTAACCACAGAAGTAACATACCATCACTGTTGCTATATTCTGTTAGTTTGAAGGAAGTGTCAGGTCCTATGCATACTTAGGGAGAAGGGATTGCACAGAGTGTGAGATCCAGGAAGTGGAGGTTTGAGGACTTCTGGAATCTGTCTACCACAGATGGCAAGGGTTTCAAGATGCCTCTGTAAAATATTTACTGAATTGAATTAAATAGTAAAATGAGGGGCTGGGTGAAGGTGAGGATCTCTTACCTGAGTGAGAGCGTATAAGCATAGGAGACTAATGTGTTTCTCTGCAGATCTGCAGAGGGAGGTTGTCTCCATGCCTCCTTATCTACTGCTCACTGAAACAAGCCTATACCAGGAGTTTCTTCACAGGATTTGATTTAGTCTTTAGGGAAATGTCCCTGTTTTATAAGGAATTTTAAGTTTTCCTAGAATTTTTATGGCTAGAAACCTGTTTTCCCCTTGAAACTCTGATATCAGGTAAGGCTCCCTTATCTCGACCAAAAAACTCCCAGCCAGTTAAGTTTTTCCCACTAGGAAAACTGAGGCACAGAACCAGAGACTACGGGGGCAGCATGGAATACATATTCCAGGTTTTCCAGGCACATTCTGAAATTTGATTCCTCTGATAATGCACTTTCTCCCTCAATTGTAGGGGATATTAGAGTGGTCCTGAACTTCATTACGGAGCATTGAACAGAGCATGATTTTCTCAGGAGGAAAAACCTGATGGAGAACATTATGGCTATTTATAGTAAATAAGTTCCAAAAAGATTGTCTTAAAGAAAATGTATTTTTTTCTGACATGAAACCTTTGGACCACTGTCTATATTTTCCATGAAAGGTATTTCTTTTTCAATATTACTCATTACAACAGGAAGAAAGTTGAGTATTAACCTTTTTATTAACACCTCGTAGGATTACTTACAACCAAGATGAACAGCTAATTCTTCTTTTAACCAAAAGACATGTTTCTATTTTAGGACTTGCACATTCTAGTGGTAGTTTAAGGAAGTAGGGAAGGGATTAAACCTGGAGCTATTCTGAAGAATAAAATAAACTTCAGGGGATGTGGGAAGCCTTTAAAAGAATCCTCAACTCTAGTTTGTGGAGCAAGTGTTAATGTGCACAAATACTACCAACAAACCTTGTTAAATATGTAGATCCCAGGACCATACCCCAAGATTCTGATCTGCTAAATTTGCCAAAATGTTCTTGAAATTGTCCTTTTAATGATTACCTCAGGAAATATGTTGGAAGTGGTACAGAGCCACCTAGTGAGAAGCCTGGAAGCCCCACTGCCTCCTCTAATACCTCACTTTATACAGAGAGAAACTAGGTTATTTGCCCAAAGTTGGGCAGTTAATAAGGACTAGAACTCCATTCTCATATCAGTATCCTTTCCATTATTTCACTGTGTTTCCTAGGAAGATTCTGATTTATATTTTGAGAAGAGTAATTGCAAAAAGATGGTTTAAAGTAGAATTTGGTGGAAGTTCCCAAGTTGATAACTTTACAAAAGCAACTTAAAAATTTAACTATTATTAATCAATTCAATGTCTGAATCAACTCCTTGCAGGCTGGTTGGAGAAACAAAGGGGTCACAGAGAGTCACAAAAGAAATAGGTTCTCTCCTGACACAGTGAAATTTATTACTACTGCTTCTTACTTTCCTATAGTGTCACCTTGGTGCATCTTAGAGATTAATGTACTCATCGGCAGGCACTCAGGACCATGCTCAGAGCTGGCCTTGAAATTGCCCATGTTTCCTGGTGCTGCATCAATATTTGTCAATGAGACTGGAACAGTTGTTGCATGAAGCACTGGGACTTGTGTGGTATGGCCTACACTGTCAGACAATAGGGACAAGGGTCCTATTTAGGCTTAAAATTGGCTTTGTATCTACCTTTACATTCTAAAATGAAATTGTTTTCCCCCTTTGCTCTTAATACTGAAAATCAACATTTTTAACAGTAGAAAACAAAGTAGAAAGAACAGAATATAATTAATGGTCAGACTAGGTAAAGAAATTATTCTGATCAGATGTCAAATTGGGAGTTAGTAGAATGGTGAAAAAATGGTTTTCATGGAAGAAATTAAGAGAAAAATTAATTTTTTCCCTTCCTCAAACCTCCATCAAAACCTGAAGTAAATTGATTATCAGGGGAAAGCACCCTGGGAATTTTCTGTGAATAAAGGTGCTCTGGGGACCTGTTTAGACAGGATGGCTTCCACCAGCGAAGGAACAGGGATAGGGAAGGCCCCTATCATAATGTGCCTGAGAGGGGACACCCTAAATGAGACTTACACACTCTGCTCCAGATCCCATAAACACAGTGCCTGTGCCTTTTATCATCAGATTATAGAATCTTTTTTTTTTTCAAAATGGTAGAGTTCTAGAGTGACTACCTGCCAAGTTGAGCCTCTTTCAAAATTTCACAATTCAAACTGGGCTCAGGACTAAAGGGACAACAATGCCTCTCAGTTTGACTTGGACCCCACTGTCCAGCAGAGGTCATGCCTCTCTTCTCTTTGTTGCAATAGCACTTTACTAACAGCAAGATTTCTTGGGGGTGTGGTAGAGCTGAGATGAGAGAATGATTCATGAAACATTTCCAGGCTGAGACGTTTTCCTATGGGATTCCCACATTATGTGGGAAAATGTTGAGTACACTGTACACATCAATACACAGCCAGCTGTTTGGATTCCATCCTGTGATTGGCCCCTGCTTTCAGGCTAATTATCAGGGGGTTTTAACAGAAACACCCACACAGGCAAGGGGAATAAGGAACTGTTAGCAACTATGTCATACATCTACTTTCAGTAGTCTGCTAATTTTATTTTTCTATAAATTTCAAAGCTGAGTATATCGAGTTTGTATCTTATATTCAGTATATTATAAAACAAACAAACAAGCTTTAGGAACATTGTGATAATCCATATGTTAGAGACAACAACGCTTTAAAAATAAGTTTTTAATGTTGCTATCAGCATGTGTCATAAAATGTTGATGGTGAAAATTTGTTTTATTTGCTACAGCAGGGTTTAGTGCCTGCCAGGATCACCCTTTGGGTGTGCCATTTGTAGGGGTAATTGGGTGGTACTTTGTGTAAAAATTTCACATTTGAAAATGTATTTTAAATTTAAACTGTTTAATTTTTAATGTGAGATTTGGAAACTTAAGCAGTAGCTCTTTAAAAAAGGTAATTATTGCCCTGGCTGGCATAGCTCAGTGGATTGAGCACGGGCTGCGAACCAAAGTGTCACAGGTTAGATTCCCAGTCAGGGTACATGCCTGGGTTGCAGGCCATGATCCCTAGCAACCACACATTGATGTTTCTCTCTCTCTCTTTCTCCCTCCCTTCCCTCTCTAAATAAATAAATAAATAAATAAATAAAATCTTTAAAAAAAAGGTATTATTGAGTGCTTAATTTAAGATTTAATATGATTTTGTTGTAATGAATATGTTGGCAGAAATAATATTTGATTGAGTTTTTAAAAGATATTAAACCTGTTTGCTACCCTCTAAAAGGCTTACAATGATATTAAAATGTAACTTAAAATCATGCACACTTTAATAATAGTTTTAGTATTAATATAAAATTTATTTATTTCTTTGTTTATAGACAATAAAAATTTACTTTTCACGGTCCTGCAGGCTGGGAAGTCATTGATCAAGATGCTGGTAGATTTGGTGTGTCATGAGGGCTCACCTCTTAGTTCATGAACAGCCATTTTCTTGCATTATTACTTGGAGGATGGGGCAAGGGAGCTCTCTGAGTTGTCTTTTTTAAGGGCACTAGTCCCATCTGAAAAGGCTTTTGCCATGATGAAATAATCATCTTTCCAAGGTTTACCTCCAAATGCTAGCACATTGAGGATTATGTTTCAACATGAATTTGAGGACACAAACATACAATTTATAACATGAGGGGTTGGCAAACTACCTTCAACAGTTCAGATGCAACCTGTACTTATTTTTGTAAATAAAGTTTTATTGGAATACAATCATTCTCATTCATATTGTATCTGGCTGTCTTCATGCTACAATAACAGAGTTGAGCAGTTGTGACAGAGATCTTATGGTCTCCAAAGCCAAAAATATTTACTGTCTGAGCACAAGTCTGCACAGTCTCAGTCTGCTTAGGACTCATTCTTCTTTCTAAATCAAGGCACAAATTGGGTTAATTCTTTAAAATATGATACAAGATGTAACTTTGAGTTTGAACATAATCATATATTTAATTAGCAGTTAATTTAAAAAGAAAGCACTTTCTAGTTGCCCCACTAATATATAGGGGAAAAACCTGGTGCCATTTCTTTTTTATCAAATTCCTTGTACTTTCCTACAGTTCTAAGAAATTCTATTCCTGAAGAGATTAAGTCAAATTTTTCTTTTTCTTTACAGGGAAAATCTAATTAATGAGTATCAGTTATATACCAAACACTGTATCAGGCATCACATTAAATCATGTAATTTAATTATTCGTAACAATTAATTAGAGGAAGGAATTATTATTCTTTTGAGATATGGAGATGCCAAGGGCTAGAGAAGTTGTAGTGTGCTCAAAGTCAACATTGATACGTGAAGGATTCTGATTGGTCTCCACAGCTCAGGGTCTTTCTACATATAGAAGATACCAGGCATATTCATGTGGCTAATAAAGTGCTGTATTTTAAAAAATAATGTTTAGGCCAAGATGGAAGCTGGGGTAGCTGAGGAAGACGCCTCGCGGCCGAGTATATTTTATGGACCATGTGCTCCTTGTATGCCTGAAGTACTTGAAATGCAAGTTTGGAGAGACTGCCATCTAAATGCTTTGCTGGATTAAGCACCTAATTAGGATGGTTATTCAACAGGTTGGAGTAAAAATGGAATCGGTACTTTGGTCTAGGAAGCCATATGGTTCATCTCGAAGTATCGTAAGGAAAATTGGTACTAATTTATCTCTGACCCAGTGTCCAAGAGTTCAGTTTCAGTTTACCAGCCCGACAACAGAATGGAGCCCCCATTACCCAGGAGAGGATTCAGTGGCATCTTTTGCTGATGTTGAGTGGATAGCCAAAGAAGAAGGAGACTGCTCTACAAGACGAAGGACAGAGGTCAGGTCAAGGTAGCCCTTTCAGGATGACCTTCCCTTCTTTGAGAAGCCCCCAAGCAGGCAGTTTCCCTTACCAAACCTGTCTCCAGAAGAGCCTCAACTGAAGACACCACTGGCGAATGAGGAAGCACTGCAGAAGATCTGTGCTCTTGAAGATGAACTTGCTGCTCTCAGAGCTCAGATTGCCAAAATTGTGACCCTGCAAGAACAGCAAAATCTTACTGCAGTACCGCCCTCTGTCCCACTGCCGTCACCACCACCACAGCATCCTCCGCCACCCCTCCCTCCCTCAACGCTCCACCAAAGTACATCTGCTATTGACCTGATGAGAGAGTGCAGAGAGAAAAAAGCCTGTGCTGGAAAGACGCTGGATAAGCACAGCCCCAAGAAACCTGATATACCAAATATGCTAGAGATCCTTAAAGACATGAACAGTGTAAAACTTCGGTCAGTAAAAATGTCAGAACAAGATATAAAGCCCAAACCCGTGGATGCTACTGACCCTGCTGCCCTCAAAGCAGAGACTCTGAAAAAGAAATTTGCTTACCAGTATCGAAGTGATAGCCAAGATGAGGCTGAAAAAGGAATTTCAAAGTCTGCACCCAAGGCTACTTCAGAAACAGTGTTGTTTCGGCCACACATGTTGAAGTCTACAGGAAAAATGAAGGCTTTAATTGAAAATGTTTCAGATTCCTAATAGACAAGGACCTGAGAAACCTGATTCACCTGTTGGTTTGTTAGGGCTATTTGGCTAGTGGAAATCAACACTATCTAGTAAATGCCTGAATTTAATATTCAGTAGTTTCCTTTTAAATCTAACTACAGGGTTAAGCAATAGCAAAAGCACTCTAAATTTATGTTTGCTTTTTATAAGAAGATCAGTTCTGAAGTTTTCCAGAACATACTTTTATTCTGACATAACACATTTTTAATGTGTAGTCAGGATGTTTAGATTTCCAGTTTTGAAAACAATTCTATCGATCTCAAAATGAAGAAAGGACATTTGTAGATGGGCATTTTTAACTCTTAACACTAATTTGTACAAGTGTTCTATATGCATATATTTGGACATAAAGCAGTCTGTGTAAAAGTGTATAATAAGGGCACTGTTATTTGCTTTCAGCAATTAGTTTACTAGTCAATGACGGAAGAGCTGGCCTAACAGTTGTTGGAATGAAATATTTGAAACTGGAATCTTCTTACCTTGAACAGAACTTTTATCTTAGATTTTTCTCTCACATTTTCTCAGAGGTGGGGTTTACTAAAATTCCATGAGGCTTTCCTTTAAAAAGGGAAGTCACCTCAGTGCCATCCAGTCTGAGGAAGAAAATGTAATTTTCAAATAGGGAGGAATCAAAGAATTGAATTAAATCTCTTTTTAGGTAAAAATCAGAAGGTAACATGTTTTTCTTTCAATTTAATAAATGGCAACATAAAAATGACCTGTTTGCTAAGTTAATACTTATGGAAATTGTAGGCATATGGAGTTTAAATTTTTTAATATTGGTCAAAATAGTAGCTTTAAAATGGAACGCTGAATAGGTGAAAAATTTCCTATCAGGTGTTGATCATTGGCCAGAATGCTGTTTTGTGAAATCACATTATTCAACATAGACCTTAGCTGTTACTAGAATGTGGAAAACTGCCTTTCTTTTCTAGCTAGGGCTTCTAATGAATTTCTGTAAGTGATAAATATTTGATAAACCTTCATGACCTTTATTACTATTAACCTCAACTCTAGTTAATGCCAGAATCTCCTTCCACGAGTAAATGGTAGGATTTATTATTTAAATTTTTAAAAGTTATTTCCTCCGGTGAGTGGGAGAATAATAGGGAGAATAACCTTTTAAGTTATTGAAAATATGTGCAATGTTCTAGATGTTAGCAAAAATTAGTTGAGGTACTTTACATGGTTTGGTTGTTCAGCTTAAATTTGAACTGTGGCTTATTTTACACATGCTGTTGATGTACATTGTTTCTAATTGCTTTACATGTTTTAAAAATTCTGCCTTTAAAAATCCTGCCTTTAAACTCAGAAAGTTACCAGACATATTTTGACTGCCTAAGAAACTTATATTTGTATTTGTATTGAATTTTGAACAGTACTCTAATATGAGGAAGTTACTATTTAGAAATAAAGCAAACTTTTATTATCCTTGGAAAAAAATAATGTTTAACTGAATGATCAGCATAGAGAGGCAGTCCTGATAAGAGTTCCTGAAGTAGCTCCCTCACAATGTGTGAGGAGAAGATTCTGCTCAAATTTGGTATTGTTACCACATAAAATTGAAGAATACCCTATTCCCCAAGCATGTTGGATTACAGAGGTTTTATTGTTTTCATAGTCTTAATCATATTAATAAAATTACATAAATATCTTTCTCCATACTTTCAATTTCAGTCTATGTGTGTCTTTCAATCTGATGTGGGTCTCTTATAGACAGTACATGTATGTGTTTTGTCTTCTTATCCATTTAGCTACCCTATGTCTTTTGATCAAATCATTTAATCTATTTACATTTAAAGTGATTATAGGTGCATAGTTATTGCTATTTTATTATTCATATTTCTTTTCTCTTTTTTTTTTCCTTTTCTTTTCTTTTATTTACCTTCTTTTCATTAAAGAGGTCCCTTTAACATTTCCTGTAATACTGGTTCTGTGGTGATGAATGCCATCAACTTTTTCTTGTCAGGAAAGCTCTTTATCTCTCCTTAAGTTTTAAATGATAGCTTTGTTGGGTAGAGTAATCTTGGTTGTAGGTCCTTGCTTTTTATCACTTTGAATAGTTCTTGCCACTCCTTTATTATCTAAAAAGTTTCTGTTGAGAAATCAGCTGATAGTCTTATGGGAGCTCCTTTGTAGGTAACTAACTGCTTTTTTCCTGCTGCTTTTAAGATTCTTTGCCTTTAACCTTTGCCATTTTAATTATGATGTGTCTTGGCATTAACCTCTTTGTGCTCATATTGTTTGGAATACCCTGTGCTTCTTGGAGTTGCATGTCTATTCCCTTCACCAGGTTAGTGAGTTATTGGTCATTATTTCTTCAAGTAGGTTCTTAATCCCTTACTGTCTCTCTTCTTCTAGTACCCCTCTGATGTAAATGTTGTTATTGCTAATGTCATCTCAGAGATTCCTTAAACTATCCTCATATTTTAATTTTTTTCTTATTGTTGTTCTGTTGGGTGTTTTCTGCTACCTTGTCTTCCAAATTGCTGATTCTATGCTCTGCTTCATCTCATCTGATATTGATTTCTTCTAGTGTATTCTTAATTTCAGTTATAATCAGGAGAAAAAAAACCCAAACAGAATTTATTTATAAAAAATGTGTATTTATTTTTACATGTTTAAACTTTAATCACCTTCAAAGTACTCTCCATTTGATGCAATACACCTATTGAGAAATTTTTTTTCTCATTGCTCAAAACAGTTTTTGAGCCTTGGGTCAGATGATTCGTGGGTACTGACAATCATGCATGAAGCTGCATTACTGAAATCTTTGATTTTGATTGCCTTTTAGTGCTTCTACCATTTTTTATTTCTCCTCTTCTGCATCAGCAAAATGTTTCCCTTTGAGGCCTTTTTTAATCCAAGGAAACAAACAAACAAAAAAACTCCTCTGGGAATGATTAGGTGAATAGGCAGAGTGGGGCATGGGGGTCATGCCATTTTTGGTCAAAAATTGCTGAACACTGAGCATGGTATGGGCAGGTGTGCTCATAAATCATCCATCATGAAATATGCAAATGTGTTGAAAGAGTCTTCAAAGGAATTTCACTGAAGCTGAATGCAACCTCAATACAATAATGCCATTTGGTACCCTGATGCAGTTGGGTTCCTAGACATTCACTTTCTGGGGGAAGCCTATACTACAAGGACCCCACCCTCCAGAAGATAATTCCATTTTGGGGCATCGCCCTCATATGAAGGATATGAGCAGGCTTTGGAGAAGCTCCGGGCCACTGGGATAAGACTTCAGTAGTGCAGCTTCATGCATGATTGTCAGTATCTATGAGTCATCTGACACAAACACTGCTTAGATATTAAGAGTACTTGTATTGAAAGAAATGGGTACATCACTGTACTTTGTATAGGTTAATAGAAAACTCCTTTTCTTCCTACAGACTTTATTTGGATAAATTTGTCAGAAGCCTGATAGAGACTTAGGGACAGAAGTAAGGTCTAATCTGGCAAATTGGCTGTTAGTGGCATTGCCTGGTGGTTTGGTAAGGAGATGAGACTAAAACCCATACTTAAGATGAGGTTTGTTTCAAACAATTTCCCATACCTCCAAAGGCAAATGTAGTATTAGTCCCTTCCCTTGTGTTCCCTTTACCTGTTAAAATGCTAAGAAATAGGAATCATTCATGGCTTTCTATGACCACTAGTGTCCTAGTTCACAGGGAGCTGGTAGGGAGCATAGGAATCTTCAAAACAATTGTCTTTACCTTTACACATTATTGGATTTTTATATAAGTGCTATGTGAACAGGCAACAGGTTCTAAATATATAATTCTCAATTTGCTACAAGATAAACAAGCATGGTTACATGGTTACTTAACTACACCAGCCTCAGTTTTCTCATCTTTAACAACAATACCTACTTCTCCAGGTTACTAGAAGTTAAAGTAAATCATGCATATGATCTAATTTAGATCAGTGTGTCTTACATAGAAGTTAATAGATCAATGTTTAAATATTTGCAGTGGAAGTTATTTTTATCTCACTAATCTGTATTTTTACTTCCTATCTATTAGAGACATATGGAATATGAAGACATTTTCAACTCTTGTTCTTAAACAGATTTCTTTAAAATCCATTCCAAACATACATCTTGCATTTTCTAGGAGCTCCACCTATACCTGTCTGGGGCAGGTCAGCAAAATGCACACTAAGACCTGCCACCCTATGTCAGCTTTCTGTAGGGCTCAGCTGTTGAAAGTCTTGGGCAGCCTGCAACTTGGGTGAAACATGGTTTCTGAGGATCACCAAGGTGGGGTGAATGATGTTCACTAGGTTAATACAGATAGGTTTTCCCTTGGTGGTGAGCCTAGGGTCACTAAGCAAAAGTCACAGGGTACAGCAAGGCCAGCTGCCACCCATCTGGGGCCTATAGACCTTTGAGAGTTTTTAAAGAAAGACTACAACCCAGGCCAAGGCTATTAGCCTACCACAGAAAGAGCCTTGGTGGGTGAGTTGGGTGGGGCAATACCTCAGAGAGCTGATGGAGTTTACCAGGATAATGCAGATTTAGATTTGGCCTCAGTACAGTGATAACTGTTTCTACAGCCCCCACCCTGAAGCCACACAACTCATTTTCTTCCTGGTATCTCTGGCACCTCCCCAACTTTTGTCCCTCCACCATGAATAAGTAAGTCTGTACCTGGGCTTTTTAAAAGGATGCTGTCTCACCTGGATGGATGGAATACCCACTAATTTTCACAGCCAGGTGGAAGGGCTTCTTCCCAGCACTAGTGTTCTGGGCCAGGAAGCCTAGTGTGGGGGTGGCACCACTCGCTTCTCACTTGGGGATATGATAGCCCCCATATCCCTCCCAATTCTCGACCATTGTATGTGGGTGTGAGAGCAGCCCATTTCAGGTCTTCTCCCCCCTACCAGTCTTGATGTGGCTTCTTCTTTATATCCTTAGTTATAGGACTTCCATACAGCTAGTTTTCAGAAGGTTATCCAGGTTGATTTTTTGTATAATAGTCATAGTTTTGAGGTGGTCATGGGACGTGGTGAGCACAGCATTTAACCGCCTTGTCTTCT